TAGCTACAGAATGACTACGGAATACCTACGGATTAACTACGGAGTATGCTTTTGGTTAGAATTTCGTAACTAATTTGTAGCTAAGTAGCTACGGATTAGCTTTAGATTTTTCTTATTTTCAATTTTTCGGGCACCAAACTTCGTTTTTTTCGCTTCATTTTTTACACCTCTACTATACATGATTATATTTATTTTCACAAACTTGTAGCTATTAATATTGTTCATAAAGTCGTGTGCGCCTTCGGTTCAAGTACTCGTTTCACAATTTATCATTGTAATGACTATACTTTTCACCAACTTGTGATGGATTATGTTTTGGATATGTATATTTATATACATGAATGAGTTGTGGTATATGTGTACGTGTATATGTGTATGTATATATGTTTGTGAGATGTATGTGTACGCATTCATAAGCATTATAGAGTTAAACCCTTAAACGAGCAATGGATCTCGTATGTGCACACGACTTTATAAATGATATTAATAGCTATAAATTGGTGAAAATATAGATAATCATGTATAATAGAGGTGTGGATAAAACGGAGCAAAACAAACGACGTTTGGTGCCCGAAAAATCGAAAATAAGAAAAAATCTGTAGCTAATTAGTTACGGATTTCTAATGGAAAACATATTCCGTAGCTAATCCGTCGGTAATTAGCTACAAATTAGCTAAATTTTTTTCTTATTTTCGGGAACTAAACGTCGTTTTTTTTTTTGCTCCGTTTTTTTCACACCTGTATTACACATGATTATTTATATTTTCACCAACTTATAGCTATTAATATCATTCATAAAGCCGTGTGCACTTACAGGATCCATTACTCGTTTACTGGTTTAACACTATAATGCTTATGAATACGTTCACAGACATCTAACAAACACATATACCTACACCATCACCATCATCATCATCATCACCACCACCACCATCATCATCATCACCATAAACCATCATTATCATCACCACCCTACCACTATCATCATCATCATCACACCACCACCACCACCACCATCATCATCATAATCATCATCACCACCACCATCACTATCACCATCACCACCATCATCACCATCACCACCATCATCATCACCATCATCACCATCACCGCCATCACCAGCATCACCACCAACACCATCATCACCATCACCATCACCAATATCACCATCACCATCACCATCACCATCACCATCACCATCACCACTACCACCACCACCACCATCACCACCACCATCACCACTGTCAACATCACCATCACCACCATCACCACCATCACGATCACCGTCACCATCACCACCACCACCACCACACCATCACCGCCATCACCATCACCATCACCATCACCATCACAATCACCATCACCACCATCACCATCACCATCACCATCACCATCACCATCACCACCACTACCATCACCACCACCACCATCACAACCACCACCATCACCATCACCATCACCATTACCATCACCATCACCATCACCATCACCAACACCATCACCATCACCATCACATCACCATCACCATCACCACCACCATCACCACCATCACGATCATCGTTACAATCACCATCACAATCACCATCACCATCACCATCACCACCACCACTACCATCACCATCATCACCATCACCATCACCATCACTATCACCACCACCACCATCACCATCACCATCACCTTTACCACCATCAAGATCACCATCACCATCACCATCACCATCACCATCACCATCACCACCACCACCATCACTATCACCACCACCATCACCATCACCATCACCATCACCATCACCACCATCACCACCACCATTTCCCATCACCATTGTTATTTAGGAGAGAAGCCCTTAAATGGGGGTCCGGGGGCAGCGCCCCTGGGAGCGGGGTCATGAAATGTGAGATTATCCTTGATAGGCCATGAAAATTTAATCAAATTATCGAATGGACAAACCACGTTAAGAAGTCTAAGTTTCTTCATGTTTCCAAAACAGAGATTATCCTTGATAGGCCATGAAAATTTTCTAATTGTTATAAATCTTGTTGCTTCATTAACCTGCAATCCAAGAAAAGTGATCATGAAACTTCCACCATAAGTAATGAAACGGTGTTAGTTTAGTCCACCTTATAAGTAAACTTAATCCTTACCAAGTCATCACCCAATACTTCTTCAATTTCCTCTCGAATCCACAATCGACTATGTTGAATAGGCTCATGTGACATCCCTAATTTCACGGCCAGAAAAGAGAGATTTGTTTATGCTTTGTTTTTAAAATCAGAGTAATCATTTAAAGAAAATTGTTGCGGAATTTGTCCCCACAACGAAATATGATAAGAATTTATCAAAACATTTCTTAAAGAAAAGTATTTTCATTATATAACAAAATCTCGGGATGTCATGTTCCGATACAAACACATAAGCATAAACAGAACTTACATTTACTTACATTTGATACTTGTGATACAAAGAAAACTGAGTGGGTCAGGCTTGGGAGCCTGGTGAGCATATATGGTTTTCAACCCACAATAATATAATTATTATATTCAATCATCAAACAATCAACCCAATTACCCATCCCCATTATCTTCTTTATTTCTTAAGGTTTTACCCTAAGAATCGACTATCCTTCCTTCATTCGTTCCTAAGGAATTGAGTTAAGGAAATGGCACAAAGTCCATTGCTGCCTGAGGTTAATCTACATAGTACTAAATCCATAGCTACCAAGGTTTATAGTACTAAATCCATAGCTACCATTGTTCATCTACACTGTACTAAATCCATAGCTACCATCGTTTTATTATGAGGCACTAAATCTATAGCTTCCAAGGTTTTTAGAGTACAACGGTGAACATCAAGTCCACAACACCTACAAGTTGCGAGCTTGCTAGTGTTCCACTGGACTGTCTAGAATAGTCCGTGGTTGTCATCTCTACTCTGCTGAATGACGGGGGCCATCGTTTGGGTAAAGGTTTCACTCATTTTTCACCTGTCACCCTCATCTCATGATCTATATCATCTTTTGTCTCATCCTCAAACTCATCTTTCATCACACACCAACTATTTCATCTACCCATGTTCTACCCAACATACTTGTAGATATAAATTACATATATATAATGTAAATTATTTAAAAACCTGTATAAAACATTCATTTAACATCCATCTCAAGTAAACAAACAACGTGTAAACACATAGCACATATTTCATAGCAAATACTTCATATCTATGTGGTAGAAGAAAGTAACTATACACTCACACATATAAACAACAATAATATATATATATATATATATATATATATACACACACACACACACACACATAACACATATTTTATAAAATACTTCATATCTATGTGTAAGATGAAAGTGACTATACACTCACCTGATTAGAAGATGATCGGACAACACTACGACTTGTAGAAGTAGTATTCTTGGGTAGATCTGGAAGATCTTCACAAAAACCGGGCTCCTTGCGGGCAGGGCTTTGGCTCGAGAATCTCACTTCTTGGGATCTTCGGGACTTCGGAACTTGCTTCGGGGCTCACGAATGATACCGGGGCTTCGAGCTATAATTGGCACGCAAATCGAGGCAAAAACTTAGAGATAAGAAAGAAAATGAGCAAAGAAAATGGTTGATCTCGGTTTCTATTTATAGGCTGTTGGGTCTGGGATTACACTGGACGTAATTTCCATGTACGCTGGGCGTAATCTTCGTTACGCTGGACGTACGCTTCGGATAAGCTTTGGTATGTGTGCCACGATCTTCAAAAATTTATATCTTTCGCATATGAGCTCCGTTTTTAACGTTCTTTATATTCACGCATAGGTGAGATTGTGCTCTACAACTTTTATTTAGACACCGTTGGCTAATTTTGACTTTATTTTTTATTATTTATTTTTAGTAGGCCGAGACAGGAAAACTCCGTTATAAATCCATAACTTCTTCATCCGACGTACGTTTTCATTTGTCTTTTTACCGTTGGACTACTATCAACAAGATCTTCGATTCTCGTTTAGATTGTTTCGGCTAAAAACCGCTCGATCTCAAATCAAGTATTCGGGCGGCATACCGCTAAGTCGAAACTTAGAAAAATCATAACTTCCTCATATGAAGTCAGATTCGGACGTTCTTTTTATGCACGCTCTTAGTTTAACGTATTCTACGACTTTGATTTAAATCACTAAGGCCAAATATCGCTCTAACGTAAATTCACTATTTACGTCGCGCTGTGTCGTGCTAATTCTGTCGCAACATCTAGGAATATTTTGATCAAGAGAAACAGTAATGAGAAACTTTTTCTCAAGAACTCTTAAGCCAATCCTAACATGAGATCCACAACTTTCAAGTGCTCTAATTGCATCTTCTTTCGGCCAACCTTTCATTAAGCATGCAACATCTAGGAATATTTCCTTGTAATCATTCTCCAAGCTTGTATAGCTTAATTCCAATTTTTCGATCGTTTCCTTCAATGGAATTGTTTTTAATCTTTCTAGCGTGTCTTTCCATCACCATCACCATCACCATCACCACCACCACCATCATCATCACTACCACCACCATCACCATCACCACCACCACTATCACGATCACAGTCACCATCACCATCACCATCACCATCACCGCCATCACCATCACCATCACCATCACCTCCATCACCATCACCATCACCATCACCACCATTGCCATCACCATTGTTATTTAGGGGAGAAGCCCCTAAACGGGGGTCCGGGGGCAGTGCCCCCAAGGGGCAGAGCCCCTGGCTAGGATCGAGTTGTTCGTGTCTTAAATATGTTGCTATATTAAAAAATGCATCAAAAATCCAATTTTAGAAAGTTGGCCATTTTTAGAAAGTTAATTGTTCGTGTCTTAAATATGTAAGAAAATTTATCAAAAATAAATAAATAAATAAATAAGACTCGAATAATAATAATAATAATAATAATAATAATAATAAAAGGGCAGACGAAGTGGTTAAAATGTTTAGTGGACCAAATGAGTATGAATGTGGCATTTCCAGCCAAGTAGTAACGTCGATGGTTATGTTTTGAATGTACCCGAGTTCGAGTCCCTTTTGCCACCACTTTTTTCATTTTTTTTTTGGCCTTTTTCAGTTTAACACTAATTTTGGCCTTTTTAAGTTTAGGGTTTTATATTTGTTTGCCGCCTCCGATTCCATTTTAGTGGGATCCAAAATCCAAATCGAGTATCGACTCCAATCGTTCTTCTCGCTTCTTCTTCCTCCCTTTCGTTTTCTGTGTACGTTACCCAAAACCCCCTTGTTTCTCGTCCATTTTCCGTCACTATCACCCTTTTCCCGCTTTCCTTCCCTCTCCGACAGCGTAACTCCTCCGGCATTACCCCTCTTTGCTCGATTTCTTCTCCCACAAAGGTAAACCCTAGATTTTTTTTTATCTTTTTTAATTTGAAGAATGTAATGCAGATGCCAGAGTTACTTCTCTCTGCCGCCTCCAGAGTCGGACACAAAGGTATGTTTAAAACCTGAAATCGTTTTTTTTTTATTTTTATGGCTGGAGTCGATGACTGCTCTCAAACATTATGCCCTAATAGTTTAACTCGCTCCATAGAAACCGCGTATCTACTCCACATCACAGCACACCCCTGACCTCCCATCTTCGTTGCTCTCGTTCGTCACCATCTCCGGTTGTCGTTGATGATGTTGATAGTGATTTCGGGGCTGTGGAGGCTAGGAAAACACGAAGTAACAGACCGATCATTCTGAATTTCAGCTTGTGGATACAAGATGTGAAGGTAATTTCTATAAGTATTGCTTGTTTCCCAATTTGAAACTTATTAGTTCTAAATTTGTAGAAAAGAGCCGCCTTTAATACACCATCTTGATTCTTGAGGTAACAATCTTTTTCCCTTGTTTTGATGTTCTGATGCTTTCACTATTATCAATAAAATATATCAATTGCTTTCTTGAAGTTTGAATGTCTCTACTCATGTTTTCCATATTCATGTATTTTGATGTTCTGAAGTTTGAATGTTTCTTGTTCTCTTTTTTTTTATTTTTTTTTTTATTTTTTTTTTTTATATATACACAAATTCTTTAACTTCACAATTCTAATAAGATTTTGATTATATCTTTTCTTTTTTTGGGGATTTCTTAAAACAGTTTGTTTTACACATGGGGTTTCTGGATCTGTTTTCTGCTGCTTCTATGCCTATTCTCAAGGTTCTCATAGTTATGCACTTGGCTCATTTCTTGCACTGGATTGTATTGATATCTTGGGACAAAGTACAAGGAAGCAAGTCAATAATTTAAGTTTTCAACTTCCCTTTAGTTATTCAAGAAAGCATACGACGAAAATTTAAGTTAGTGATCGTCGGTTGTGCATTATTGATTTGTAATGTGCAAGTCGGTATTGCACTTTAGGACTAGTCCACCGTGCACTTTGGTGGTCCCTCTTTGCTTAAGCTTACTAATAGTACAAAATCTTGGTTTCAGTTTTTCTGATTATGGAATTCAAATACCCATGTTCAAGAAAGTCGCCAATTTGATTAAAGATTCAAATTTTCTGATCATAGGACTAGTATACTACGATTTTGATTTCAACATTTCATGGCTCTAATTTCAGCCTCTATGTAGTCTTTGCTGATTATAGAAAAATATAAATATGATTAAATATACGATTTTCTTAATATGGGACTTATAATACTCCTTCCTATTTGATCAGGTTGTGTTCTTTGTGTTCAATCCGGCACTTGTGGGCAACAATCTTGCTAGAACAATCACCCTTGAGAGCATCATTTCTATGTAGTAATCTTTCTTGTGTTGTTTTAAAAATGTTACAATTTGAAGATTAACTGTTAAACTTGGACAATGGAATGAAATGTCAAACTTGGCATTAGAGACGTTTTTCGGTGTATTTTATATGGTATTTGGGACAAATGTGAACTGAATGTTGTATTTGACGAAAAGTTGGAAAATTTTTAATTTTAATTTTTTTTATAATTAAAAGAGGTTAGCTACGGAATAGCTACGAATTTCCGTAGCTATTTAGTTTCGTAGCACTTCCGTAGCTATTTGGATCCGTAGCTATTCCGTAGTTATTTAGTTCTGTAGCTATTTTGTAGGAAATCCGTAACTATTTATTTCCATAGCTATTCTGTAGCTATGGTAGCTACGGAAAGTTCTGTAGCTATTCCGTAGCTATAATTTAGCCACATGCCATTATGCTACAGACATTTTTTTCGTAGCAATTCATTAGCTATCTGCTGATAGCTACGGATTATGCTGTAGCTATTGCACTAGTTTTCTTGTAGTGATATGTTATATATATTAAGTATATTGAATGGTCATTTATTTTTAAGTTTTTGCACATTTAACTCATTCTTTATTCAATAATATTTTATCCTCTTAACTATATTTAAATTTTAAACATTTCTTGTATTTTACTTATTGATTTATTTTATTAAATATATGTTGGAATCCTAAGTCTTGGGGTCCAAGCAATCTAATTTATGGAAAGTTTAGTTTATGGCAAGTTGGTCATAAGTTTCCTAGTCTAATACAAGTTGGTATGTTAGGCTATATATACGTGTCCATAATCGAGTTTATGATTATGAGAACAGATTGTAAAAACATTGGTTTTGAGTGATTTTCCAATTAATCAAAGAGTTATTTTGGTTATTTGTTTTGCATTCTTGTTTTCAAAACTTTAATTGGTATCAGAGCTTAGGTTGAGAAGCTGTGAGATCGATTTGTACATGTTGACGAGTCAGGTCAACATGATAGATACAGGGGGAGAAGGAGAAGCTCCGGTGAGAGTGAAGGAGGTTGGGACAACCTCAGTTTCGTGTCCGATGCTCACATCTACTAACTACACCGTGTGGGCAATGCGTATGAAGGTTGTATTACGCATCCACAAAGCCTGGACTGTGATTGATCCAGGAACCAATGTCAATGAAGAAAAGGATTGCCTTGCCATGGGTTTGCTATATCAAGCCCTACCGGAAAACCTTATAATGCAGATTGGAGATCAGGATTCAGCCAAGAAATTGTGGGATGCGATTAGAGCACGTAATGTGGGTGCAGATAGAGTCAAAGAAGCGAGATTACAAACCTTGATGTTGGAATTCGATCGCCTGAAGATGCTCGAGTCAGAAACAATCGATAGCTTTGCCGGAAAGCTGTCTGGAATCGTGTCTACATCGTCGGCATTAGGAGAAACGATTGAGGATTCAAAATTGGTGAAGAAATTCCTCAAATCATTACCCAGAAACTTCATTCACATCGTTGCATCTCTTGAACAGGTACTAGATTTAAAATCGGTAGGGTTTGAAGACGTAGTGGGTCGATTGAAGGCATATGAAGAAAGAATAGGGGAAGTCGATGCCGGAGAAGGACAATTGAGGGTTCTATTTGCCGAAAAATCGACCGGAGATGGAGGTGGGTCGTCGACTGGTGGGGGTAACTCATCGGGAACGAAGGGAAACTGTAAAGGATCGAATGGGTCTAATAAAGCGAATGAGTTTAATGGGACTAATGGGTCGAGTGGATCCGGGTCTGGAGGGTCACATGGGTCAGGCGGGTCCAAAGGGAATAATAGGGTTTCTCAAAGCAATCGGCCTAATAAACTGTCCAATTCTAATTCTGATTGCAAAAATTGTAATTGTTGCTGTGGCAAGAATCGGAAAAATAGGGAAAAGGATCGATCTAAGGTGATTTGTTTTCGGTGTGACAAACTGGGTCACTTTGCTTCTGAATGTCCGAAACAACTCCAAAAATTACAAGACGGTGATTTTTCGGAACGTGACGACAGTGACGAATCCATTTTTTAAATACCGGGTTGAAGAATTCTCTAGAAGGACTTAGAGATTCGGGGTGATTGTTGGAATCCTAAGTCTTGGGGTTCAAGCAATCTAATTTATGGAAAGTTTAGTTTATGGCAAGTTGGTCATAAGTTTCCTAGTCTAATACAAGTTGATATGTTAGGCTATATATACGTGTTCATAATCGAGTTTATGATTATGAGAACATATTGTAAAAACATTGATTTTGAGTGATTTTCCAATTAATCAAAGAGTTATTTTGGTTATTTGTTTTGCATTCTTGTTTTCAAAACTTTAATATATAATCTTGTTTCCATTATGATAAATTTAGTTTGTTACCATAATATAATATTTTCAACGCCCTTTTTGATTTTGTAACCATAACTAATATCCTTTTTCATATTTTATATATTTCAATAAAGATGTGACAAGATATTAATGTGTAATAATAATATTTTATAACATATTTCTTGTGTTCGACACGCAGCGTTTGAGAAAAAAGAAAAAAAAAAAAAAAACTTTGTTCAGCGACAGGAACGTTTAGCTTTTAACCTAAACAAAAAGTTCCAAAATCAAAATCTACATGGAGTAGCTTTTAACAAAACGCTCTAAAATCAAACGCTACTCGCTAGTAGCCACCCGCTAGTTTTGCCGAACACACCCAAGAACAAATAATTTAAATTTATATAAAAAAATTATTGACGATATTAATCATTGGAGAAAACAATTAATCAGTGGTTAAAAATTTTGGACGGTTGATATTAATATGAAAATAGTTTTGTTTATTTCAACAACACACCTTAATATTTTATTATAAAAATACCGAGATGATTTAAATTTTGTGATTATAGAAAGATAAAGAAAAATATATCGCCTAAAACAAAAAATGACGTACATAATTAATAAAATATGTTATTTTTAATTACATTTAACCCTAAAATACATTATACATACATATAAGAATAAAAGAAAAGGCAACATTCATGTTCATTCATTGAAGACTCCGTAGAGTACAAAGAGGGTCAATACACACATGTCTAATTAAACTTAAACATGACGACTTTAAAAATTCGTGGATGCACAAAATCCAATAGGCAATTTGCACATAATAAAATACAAACAAACTGCCCATAGCCCACAGGAACACAAGAAAAAAAAGAGTTCTGCTTTGACTTTGCCTCCTAGAGAACATGTTACATACAAAGAATCACCATGTCCAGGCAACTCATTCCCCCAAAAAGGAGCCAAAATGACATCACAAAGTAATTTTTTAATCACTAAGTAACCAAGTTTGAAATAATAAAACTTAGATCACTTGTTTATTGAAGAATTTGCGGATACGATACTCGGATATTTAAGGTTATAATAAAAAGTTTCAACCTTTAAACAAGTCAAGTACCCGCAAAATCTTTCACTGTGAATCCAACTTTCTCAAACTTGCCTTTCTCACTATTCTCTCTAAACTTCATATAATCACCACACAAGAAGGGTTTATAGGCTCTCAAACTCTTGTCACCCACAACTTCATCAGGTGCAAAAACAATCTTATTATCCTCAAAGCACCAAAAGAAAGCAAGCGAAAACCGGTTTTTATGTTCCTTTAAAACGACTCTATGTTCAGATGACCTTAACTTCCCATTACTCCAAGCTTGCATCAAATCACCAATATTCACAACCAGTGTTTCTTCACACGGATCTATGTCCATCCATTTCCCTTCTTTAGATCTGACTTGAAGTCCACCACTTTCATCCTGATAAACTATTGTTATGCAGCTCATATCTGTGTGCATGCCAAGCCCTTCAATGTCTTTTTCTATGATTTTGGGTGGCGAGTAGTTTATTATCCGTAAATACCCTTCGGAGTTTGAGAATTCGGGTTCAAATTTCTTCCCAAAGTCTTCCCCCAAACACATTAATAACATCTCAATGATCTTATTAGATAGGGTCCTCATGGTGCTCCCATATTCTCTTAA